AAATTTCACTAATATTCATGTCATAAAAAATCCACAAAAATCTATAGTCACATCGTCCCTCACATCACGAACTAACACAATCGTTACTTAGTGAAATCAAGAAAGTGTTTCAAAATACGCACTGTTGTTGTTACCATCTTTTTGTGTGGTAAAGAGTACAAAAGTGCTTGACAACCAATACGCGCTACTCTGATTTGATTTCACAAACTAGTTTGTGATGCGAGCGACGAAATGATACACAGTACAAAATTAATTTGTCCACCAACTAACAAATGAACACGCCTTCAAAGTAGCATTACATCAGGAGGCATGCATGCAACACGAATGCAAAAGAGAGTGAAACATGCACTCATCAATTTAAGAATATATACTGCCTTTGTTTTGTCACTTAAAAGAAATCACTCTTATTGGTAAAGCCACAGATGCAAGTGAAGTGGATGGTGGTTAATAAAATGAAAATAATGAATATTCTGACAAAAAGAACATTTCTTGGAATATTTATTAGAGAGTTGGATACTCTCCTATATTCAAAGCTGAAGGTAGTTCTGGTCTCGTGCCAATCTCGGCCACTGTGGATAAGCTTTCTTCGATAAGGCTTCTACGAATGTATATCTGTTATGGAGCAGGAAATCAAGTTGCCCCTCCCCAGTACCGCCTGATTATAAATCTACGGGAAATCAACCGATAATAGTTATTATTCTAAAATTATATTAAATTAGGAAAATGTTTTAAAAACTGATTTTTTTTTCTCTCTTTTAATGTATCATTCATTCATGGATTTCATTCATACATTCAAAAACACATACCTGTACAAGTTTTTATAAAAGCTGTATCATTGTACTGTATATTATGAAATGTTTATTTTGTTTTTGTTTTTTTTTACTCCATGTAATATTTTTATATACAGAAATCCATACTACTTATAATATAAACAGTACAAGTATTCTGAAAGTGTCTGCAAAAATAAATAAATGTAAGTGTACTTATACAGTATAATAACTGATCAAAACATTGCTTATCATTAATTGCCTGATATTTATGTACCAGACATCTGCATTCTCACAAGTTCATTGACAGTTTGCCTAAACTAATGCATAGAAGTATTCCATATAATACATTCACTTTTAGCAGACTTTTTAATTCTCTTCCAGATAATATTAGGTCCACTTTGTTAATTTCAACCCATTTATTAAGGCAGTTTCCACCTTGTATGTTATGTACAACCCTGTCCAGAATACAGTATCATCTTTCATTTGACAAAACATGCGACATGCATATAAATGGTCAGGATGTCATCACATCGTGACCATATATAGGCACATCATGACTATATATAGGCACATCATGACCATATATAGGCACATCATGACTATATATACAGTATGGACATACATTAGTTTTTTGTCGAAGAAAATTTGAAAAGAGTGTTCATCCGAAAATAAAATTTGATGCTAAGTGAAATTTCTATTATATTTTGTATTTCAGGATTGTCTGGTGGCGCTATTGCAGGTATTGTTATAGGGTCCTCCGTGGGATTCTACTGGTTGTATGCTTGCTTATGCGGAAAAAAGAAGACGAATCAACCGGAAACAAATAATGCTACTAATAATCCTAACGGAACCGACATTCCAATTGAACTTCAAACCAATGGAAACCAAGACGTCCTGCCATCAGCTCCTCCGCCAGGGTTCGTAGACCTACCCCCGGCATACGATAGTGTTATGCAGGATCCAGATAGGTACAAGACCCCAATAGACATAGAAGAGACTCCTCCACCCGCCTACATGGGATATCCAAACCCTCCCTTAAATCCAGGAATTTTCAACCAGGCTTTGTAAAGATTAGAAGTGAAAGTTTTTAATGTAAATTTTATTACAGCTTTTATAAAGATGACTAGATTGGATTCCAAGATGTAAATTTTTATGATTTTTATTTGGAATGATTCAGAAGAGCACCACGCATGCACGAAAGCAAGCCTACCTCGTTTCTATCGTTGTTCCAAATAGAAAACATGTAGAAAGTAAACAAATAGAAACAAATAGAAAGTAGCAACAAACAAACAAATAGAAAGTAGCCCTTTCTGCATATCTTTTATTTTATTTTATTTTATTTATTTTTTTCAATATATATCTTACATGTATATATATTAACAACTTAACTGGAGGGGAAAACAGGCAAAAACAATTGCAAAACTCCCATCCTCCTCTTCTTTTTCTCTATCATGTCCACACACTTGCTAGATACTTTGTTTCAGCCAGAGCTGGACAGTTTCTAGCTAGCAGAATCATTCTACTCTGCCAGCTTCATCAGATGGCATGATGGAAATTATGATATTGATGATGTTGCCTTGATCTTGTGTGGTGGTGGTGGTGGTAGAATTAGTGTTATTCAGGGCTGCGATGAAGACGCTTCTACTATGACCCCTACCTAGGTTAATACTAATACAATAGAAGTGTTGTAGTAACTGTATAAAGAAATATATAAATTGTTAAAGGATCTATCCATTGTCGTTATTTTCTTATGTGGTATTTATATGCAATAGTCATGGTTAATATTGATGTGTAGCCTTTGAATGAAAATGGCATTTAACTGAAATTTCAGTCGGAACAGCAATAACCAAAATAACAATAAGCATACAGTTACAAAACCAAGTACCAAAACGGTAATAAATGCTAAATTAAGTGCACGATTACTTTAACAGAGACTCGTGCCTTGTTACTATAATGCCTAACTATATTTAAACTGAGAATAAAACCCTGAAGTATAATGTGATTATTTTCGTGGAAAAATGTTGGAGTTCTTTAGAGAGTTGACTAAACTGGTGGCAGCCACTTTGTGTGCGCTGAACCGTGGAGATCTTTCCAACCCGGTTCAGTTTTTGATGAGCTTTACATTTGTTACTAGAAGGGTTCTTAGATTGCGAGTTATAACAGTGTTATTACTATATGTAATGTTTTATGTAGGAACATTTTTATATTTAATTGTATATTGTATCTTAAATCTTTGAATGGTTTCAGTTTGGAATTGTTAAAAGTAAATTTATAAAATATTGTTTGAAGGTTTGCATGGCGAAGTAATTGTATATGCTTGCGGTACACCACGTAGATAGTTCTGAAAAAGAACTGTTATACGTGCACTTATATTTTGAAAATTGTTGCTAATACATACAGAACATTCTTATTTTGTGTTCTTCAAACTGAACTATATTTTATTTTCTACTTATAAAAATGTAGTAGTAGTTACTAGTATTAGATAACAAATTAATAATTTTTACAGTATTAGATGTAGCAATTTTTAACATTCTATATTTTGTCCCTGTTTATAATAAAAAGAAATAAGCAAATAAAAAACAGTTAAAAAATAGTAATAAAAAGGTATTACCAATATTATATATATATATTAATATCAAAATGTATTATTAATGTATATGTATATTAATATCTATTGGTTAAATGTGTGTGTGGTACTGTATTAGATTTACAGTACTTATAATAATAAATATTTTTAATTCAATCAGTTAATTCATGTTATGTGGAGCTTATCAGATTTTTCACAAGTTAACATAAACTTGTTGCCAGTATTTTTTTAAATGAGGATAAACTGTCATTTTTACATGCATTTTAATTAACTTCATGATATAAAATGCATTTAATTCATATACAATATATATATATATATATAAATTATATATACAGCAAATCTAATATACATATGTAATGATAATATTATGCTAATGAATTGTTGGAGGTTGAGGCAATATTTGTTTCCTGAATAAAAGTTTGCATTCTACTTATCTACTTTGTGTTTCATCATCTTTTTTGTATATTATGTGCGCACGCATGGACAGTGGCAGACCCAGAAACTCACCCCCTCCCTCCCCTGCCAGCGTTTGCAAAAAAACTCACTACTTGTGAAATCATTTCGGATAAGATATTAACATGACTAAAACTAAGAAGCTTCCAGCTTGAGTAGCCCCTGGACCTCCACAATAGGCAAATGTACACTCCAAAACCTTCTCTTGACCATAGGTTTACCCCTGTGGCCACTTGCGCAAAAAATTAACAATTATCAAATTTTCGGAAGTTACTACAGTACCTCTCATAAGTGTCCATCTGCCAAAATCCTTTTGTGTCCTATTGAGTGACTGAATTTGAAACATCTTGCAACTGCGACCATTTTTGTTCTTTTTCTCTGGTTAAAGAGACCATCCCAGAGGTCAAGAAATATTTTTCAACAGAACACTACATCACCGCGTACCGAGCTTAGTTGACCAACGATATGTTGTTATTACCTACAGTATACGGTATTTTTAATTTAACAAATTTAACAAAAGTTTAAAGACAGTTCAACAACAAAGGAAAGTTATTAAATCTTAACGACCCATTATCATTATGAGTTGAATCGGCTCAAGAGCATGCATATCCAGCTATGCAAAAATCTGAGTTTATACAGTCAGTGGTGGCTCTATGATACATTTTCTGGGGGGAGGGGGGTAAGCTGTCCAACAGGGGAGCTTGAGCTTGTATGCCTGAGGATGGGGTATCCCCCTGCCAAATGAGATTTTCATTTAAATAGGGATCTCTGGATGGCTGGAAATGGCATGTGAAGGCAATATCACTATCATAAAATAGCAAATACAGTATAGCACATCTAAAATAGTTGATGTGCTACAGCAAACATATTGCTATTATTGCTGCATTTTGTGAAATGGGTGCTATTTACTACTGCTATTATAAGGTATTACAAGCTACTACCGTGCTTTTAAATGCTACTTAATGCAGGACCAATCCTGCGTTTTAATGCCTCCTGGATGCAATGATAGGTTACTCCTAACAATTTGCTGGTACCCATTGATACAGCGGGGTAGACCGGAGCAATGTAGATAGTGTTTTGCATAGTTCCTACTTTTTAAGTGCTAATGTAGAAATGCAAATTGTCATTATTATTATTATCATTATTAGTATATTGTATTAATAGAGATATTTATTATGGACTTTTAGCAACAGATTCCAGCGTACGTCTTGTGGATGGATATTATAAAAATGTTGGTCGACTGGAAGTATATTACAATAAAAATTGGACCAGAGTTTGTGATGCTCGTTGGACGGAAGCAAACTCCCAAGTTGTTTGTAAACAGCTAGGTTACAAGAGGCCTGAAGTTTGGGTAGCTGGCTACTACATTGGAGATGGTTCGGCTCCATATGAGTTGAACTTTTACTGCAGTGGTGGAGAAAGTGTTCTTTGGGACTGTAGGACCAGTGATTATAATAATTTCTACAACTGTTACAGTCCAGTGGATATACAATGTACAAGTGAAGGTAAGTGCTTTTTTACACTGGTATCAGTGGCGGCACCAGTGGTGGGAGGGGGGCAGCAGGGGCTTAAGCCCTCTCACCAGACAGGTCAAGGGCCCCTCCCCCCATGTGACAGACCTCATCGGAAAAAATATATAAAAATAGGCCCACGCCAAGCCAACACATGTCTGTCACAATCAGAGTGTGTCATCTGGCCAGAGTTTCCTATTCTTAAAAAAATCTCATTTGGGTGGGGGAACACCCTCTCAAAACCTTCCCCCAGCTTGGGCCTACAAGCCCATCTCTCCCCTGTCGGACAGCTCAGCTCCCCCAGAAAATATATCCTGGAGCTGCCACTGACTGGTATTTCTAAGGGATATCATGCACAAATCTACAAGTTGTCTACCCTCCCTGGCGTGCTTCACCCTCTAAGGAGATGTGTTAAGCAAAGAAATTATATTCATTCCCCAGCTTTCACCCCATTAATACTCCCTATCATCAGCTTCTGTTTCCGATTCTAAATTTCAATATAACTGATACTCCGTTAATTGGGTGAAAAAAAACCAATGCATATGGAGCTGTTCAAATGATGGATCAGTCAGAGGAATAAAATGTACTGTATATGTATTTTATACATATTAGTAGACTCTAAAATCGATTAAATAAGCTTTTGAAACCACTAAATTGTCATTTTTTGGGGGGGGGGGGCTTGGCCACCTGGAACACTTTCGAGAGATTTTAAGTGACGCCAAACCACGCCCACTTTTTTTCGTCGGGCCTACCGTTGGGCAAATCCAGGATTGTTTTCCATGAATAAATCTCTCTTGGCTTACCTTAAATCATTCATTCACTCTTTATTTAGCCTTTTATAAAAATCACAATACAATTTGTACATACAGTAAAATAAAAACTAATAAAACAAAACTCACAATACAGAATAAAACTGTGTAAATCTAAGGAGTCAAAGATTTACAATAACTACCTATGTATTAAGCCAGATAAAATTCTTAGAGTTGATAAAGCCAAAAAAAAAATGTTTATTTGGGCTTAATTACTGTATGGTGTACACTTTGATTCATATTAATCTGTTTATTCTAGATGAATACTATTCCGAAGGTGATGTACGTCTAGTTGGGGGATATTATGAATATGAAGGAATAGTTGAAGTGTATCTCTATGGCACTTGGGGAACAATTTGTTCAGCTAATTGGGGTGAAGCTGCTTCGATAGTCCTCTGTAGAGAGCTTGGAGCTGAATATAACGGTGAAGTTAGTAGTGTATACAAATTTGATACCACACAAATTGGTTTTATACCAGTACACATTCTCAACGTCTTTTGTTCTGGAGATGAAAATAGCCTAAGCGATTGTGACCTGTACCCCAACGACTATATCACGTGTACCACTAGTGACAACATAGCATTATCATGTAGAAAAGACGATTCTGGTAAGTAACAACAATATCAGTGACTGATAGTTGTATATTTGTACATTCAGTACTAATGCAATGAAACATGTATTTTCATATTTCATACATTTCAATACATTTTTGACAGATAAAAAAAATACATTACAATTAAAGGAGCTTAAAAACATAATATCACTAAAAATAAATGATGTTTATCAGATAGTAATAAATAACAAATATAAAGAGAAAGTTCTTTTTCTAAACTTTTGACAGTCCATGGATGACACTTTCCACCTTTCATGTTATGTAAAGCCCTAATATCCAAACTATCAAGTTTTTTGTGACAAATGCATGTGGCATGCCTAAATATGGTCATGATGACATCACAACATGGCCATACATAGGCACATCATGGCCATATATATATGGGTACATCATGACTATATATAAGCACATCATGACTATTATGGGCACATTATGACTATATACGGGCACATCATGACTATATGGGCACATCATGACTATATATATGGGCACATCATGACTATATATGGGCACATCATGACTATTATGGGCACATCATGACTATTATGGGCACATCATGACTATATACGGGCACATCATGACTATATATGGGCACATCATGACTATATATGGGCACATCATGACTATATATGGGCACATCATGACTAATATGGGCACATCATGACTATTATGGGCACATCATGACTATTATGGGCACATCATGACTATATATGGGCACATCATGACTATATATGGGCACATCATGACTATATATGAGCATATAGCATTTTTTTGTCCAAGAAAATTTGATAGTGTGGACAGAGCTTAAAGCCCTGTCCAAACCATTTTTTTTTTTTGCCAAATGCATGTGACATACCTAGATATGAAATATTGTTTGAAGGTTTGCATGAAATGCTTGCAGTACACTTATTTATTAAAAATTAAAAAACGATATATATATATAAAATATTGACCAGGGGATGACATGGGTTAAAATCCCAATGCATCAAGTGGTCATCTCTAAACCCGTGGCCAACAATACGACAAAATATATAAAATAACATATAAAATAAGGAAGAAAAAGATAAATTTAAATATTCATTAAGATCAATAAAAAAGAACTGTTGTTTTTGTGAGAATGTCTCGACATTTCAATGGAGTTGTTTCAATTGTATATCTGATCTGTTCTATTCTCCTGAAGGCAATTGAGGCATATCAATCAAAACCACGAAACATTCTTAACAAAGGCAATAGTTCTTTTCAGTACTATTTACGTGGTGTACGACAAGCATTAATCAGGGGCGGATCCAGAGATGTCCAAAAGGGTGGTCGGGGGAAGTTGAGCCGATCGAGACAACACTGTCCTAGGGGGTCCGGGGCCACGCCCCCACGAAATTTTTGTGTTTTGACATCATTTTTTTCTTTTTCTTTCTTTTTTTCTTTATTTTTACCTCCCAAAAAGGGGGGGGGGGGGGAAAATCCGCCCCCGTTAATATACATAAATACGGTCATGACGACATCACATCATGACCATACTGTATATATATGACTACATGCATCAGTTTTTTGTCAAAATTTGATAGTCTGGACATAGGCCAAGTATTTATGTTCATCTGAAAATAAATTGAATTCGAATCGCATGACATCAGTGTTACTAAATTAAATTACTATTTTTGTATTTCAGGATTGTCTGGTGGCGCTGTTGTAGGTATTGTTATAGGGTCCTTCGTTGGATTCTGCTGTTTGTATACTTGCTTTTGTAGAAAAAAGAAAACGAATGAACCGGAAACAAATAATTCTACTAATAATCCCAGCGAAACAGGCATTCCAATTGAACTTCAAACCAATGGAAACCAAGATGTCATGCCGTTGGCTCCTCAACCAGAGCTCGTAGACCTACCCCCGGCATATGATAGTGTTATGCAGGAGCCAGATAGGTACAAGACCCCAATAGACATAGAAGAGACTCCTCCACCTGCCTACATGGGATATCCAAACCCTCCTTTGAATCCAGGTTTTGACAACCAGGGTTGGTAAAGATTAGAAGTACTTGGTTTTATTGTAAATTTTATTACATCATTTATGAAGATGACTAAACTGGATTCCAAAATGTAAATTTTTATAGTTACTGTTTGGAATAATTCAAAAGAGTACCACATGAGTGCGGAAGCAAGCCTACCTCGTTTTTACCATTATTCTAAAAGAAAACTTGGGAGAATACGCATGTTCTACAGATACATGTTATCACCCAACGCACATAGAGTACTACAGTGTTGCGTCACAATACCATGTGATACTACTCTGTTGCTCTTGGCCACACAATATGCATTCAACCGGATGCCATTTTCCCCACTGAGAAACCACTGATCCCAATTTCCAATGTAATTATCAAGATGTTATATCTTAATTTTTCTGTGTAAATTTTAATTGATGATTAAATGTGTGTTCTTTAACTAATATAATGCAAGCTTTTGTGTTTTTAGTACATTTTGATGGTAAAATATTA